GGCCTCCCATCATTCTTCTTACCGGTGTCTGAACCTCCTCTAGTTCTGCAGTGTCCTTTTGGAGATGGGTGACCCGTACTGCACACAGTGTTCCCCATCAGGGTGTCCCTTTGATTCATATAATGACGTCAGAGCATTTTCTGTATTGTCACCTCGTGCGTTCCTTATATACCCCAACATCTCGTTTGCTTTGTCATCAGCTGCTGCACGCTCAGCCGAGGTCAGCGCTGGGTGATCTACAATGACATCCCTGGGTGAGATGCTGGCCTCACTGAATTGAACGGAAAAATGTGCATAGATTTTAATGGGGTCAGCACGTCACCCCGGCTCCTTCTCCTGAGCTGATGTGGTGATGTTAGTAGCTAGGAAGATGGCTGAGCAACCCTCAGTTGTTCCTCCACTGGACCCTCTGTGTATATGTCACACTGTTTCATTTGCCGGTGGGTGGCCTGTTCCTCTCACGTGGCCAGATCCTGCTGAAGTTCCTCCTGTTGTTTTTCAGTTTAATTAACCTAATAATTCCTTATCCTCTGCGTCGTGTTTTTCTGGCTTGTATACGCATCAGGTTTGTTGCAGACCCAGTGTCTCTCGGTGATGCACCTTGAAGCGCTGACGCCGTTGTCATTCAGGTACGCGCAGTTACCTCCTCCTCTTATCGGGAACCTGCAACAAACGATAAAGCCATCGTCAGCCAGCAGCTGGGCCTGTCCTGTTACTGCCAGTGGGAGAATGCGTCTGACGTAGGGGCTCCCAAACTCTTTGCCAGCAGGACCCCATGTTAATGAATTATTTCCTCCCAGGACCCCAGGCAGCATGGAGGGCACCATTGTGTAGAGCAAAATGGCGTCCTCCACCCAGCGCGTAGGCACTGACTCGGTGGGTGCTCTGGGGCTGGAGCACACATGGGGGGAAAAAAAAAAAATAGTGGGTGCTCAGCCCCCACCAGCCACCTGCAGATCAGCACCTCGCTCTCCCCTGCAGCGCCTCCTGCTCGCCGGTGCCCCGTGGATCAGCTCCCGCGCCTCCCACCCACCACGGATCAGCTGTTCATCAGCATGCAGGATGCACTGGAGGGAGGGGGAAGAGCAGTGGCAGGAAGAGGCAGGGGAGGGGCTGGAATGGGGCAGGGCAGGAAGAGGTGGGCTGGGGGGGAGGAGCAAGGAGTGTGCGGGGGCAGGGCCTGGGGCAGAGCAGTGGTCGAGCACCCCCGGGATCTAAGTAAGTCGGCATCTATGGCAGAGTGTTGTCTCCTGTGCACCATTTTGAGTCATGCCACACAGAGGACGCCATTTTGCTCTACAAAATGGCATCCGCCCCACAACGTGACCTCATGCCTAGGTCATGCAAAGTCATGCCGTGTGGAGGATGCTACTTTGTTGAGCAAAATGGAGTCCTCCGCACACGGTGCCCTCACAGGAACCGTACAGGCGAGGTGGTGCCGGGTGGAGCAAAGTGGCACCCTCTGCACACTAGGGGTGACTGCCACCCCGTCTGCTGATGGTGCGACCCCCAGTTTGGGAACAGCTGATCTAACACCTCCAGTCTGGATCACTGTATCTCTCCCTCATGTGTGAGGGGGGCCAAATGAGCTCACCTCTACTATTGCAGGTGTGTGGGGGGAAGGATTTTCTAGCTAGAGCCAGGTGACGTGTTTCAGATGAAGAGTTTAGTCACCGAAAAATGCAATTTTAGGTCGCCTGAAACATTTGGGCCTAAATTAATTTTTTCTTTAGGCTAGACTGACAAGGGGACTTGTGTGCCCTTCACAAAACTGGAGAAAGAGGAGTGGTAAACCCGATAGCCACCGGGTCATTAGCCTGCTTATCTGGGATGAGGAAAGCGCAGGTTCAAGTCCCTACTCCGAATCAGACAGGGCGAGGACTTGATTTGGGATACAGGAGACCCAGGTTGAGTGCCCTAACCAGGAGCTAGGGAGTACGGGGGTCAGGGGACGGAGGACGGACACCACCATTGGGTTTGTGCCTGGTGCTTCCAAATTTCCTTTGCTTTTAATTAAAAAAAAAAAGCAGTTTAAAAATGCCTGAAACTGAAAGGAAAAATTTAATTTCGGGTTGAATAAAAGAAAATTCATTTGACGTGAAAGTTAAAACTTTGGCTCTTTGTTTTGCCCATAAAATTGAAAATGTTTAGTTTCTGGTTGATCCAGGTTCTTCTGCTCCCAGATTTTCAGTTCAGCCAGCGAATGGCAAAATCGCTCATTCTGACAGCTCTAGTTCTTACACCTTCCTCTGGGGCAGCTGGTGCTGGCCACTGGCAAAGACAGGCAATGGGTCTAGATGGACCTTGGGTCAGAACCAGCCTGGGCCTTCCTGTGCTCCTGGCTACGTGACAGGCTCATGTAGGACCTGGCCTAGCCGGGCTGCACTGAGGAACCCAATTCCTGAAGGTGGCCCCGGGTGGCAGTGAGCAGGGGAGTCATTCTCCACTCACGAGGGTTTCTCTGCAGCCCCTTTCATACTGACAGTTGCTGTTGTGTGAATAACTCAAACCGTGAAGTCTGTTAGCTGTGGTGGAACTGACTCACTGTGGTGCCTTTTGCTTTCCCTTGAATCTCAAAGGACTCTGCTGTCTGTGGAGACAGGTGGCCGCTGACACACATGCAAACTCTGTTCCCTCTTTTTGATGTTGTCTCAGTCTAAGACATGGGTGTCAAACGTTCAGCCCCGGACCAGGTATCACCCCTTTTCTCTAGCCTCCGACTCCCCAAAGGCATCGGGCCTGCAGCTCCCCAGGGACTGGAGTCTGAGTCAGAGGAGATGAGGTGGGTTGATTCGGCCCAGATAAGTTTGACCCCTCCTCCCCCCAAAATCACAACTTGAAATATTTAGGGTTACCATATTTTGTGCCTCCAAATGGAGGACACTCCACGGGGCCCCGGCCCCGCCCCCAGCCCCGCCCACGCCCCGCCCCAACTCTGCCCCCCCTCCCCTGCTTCCCGCGAACATTTAATTCGCGGGAAGCCTGAAGCAGGTAAGGGGGGGGGAAGATGGGGGGAGGAGGTGCGGCCCAGGCTGGCCCCCCCGGCGGCTCCAGCCTGGGTCGGCTCGGGCCCTGGGGTGCCAGCCCCGGCCGACCACCCCCGGTCCGCCCAGCACTGCTGGTCGACCCCCGGCGGCCCGGCGCACCCCCCGGCCCCGCGACCCCCGGA